GCATCCTAGGGAAGATCCTAGGAAAGTTAATCAAGGAGTCTATCTGCAATAAGCTTGCAGAAGGTAAGACTCTGAATGACAGCCAGCATGGCTTCATTGCAGACAAGTCTTGCCTTACCAACCTCATCTCCTTCTATGACCAGGTAACTCTCTATCTGGACACAAGAGAGCAGTTTGACATTGTATATGTTAACTTCCAAAAGGCTTTTGATCTCATCTCCCACGATGTCCTCACGAGAAAACTGGAGGATTGAGGGCTTAACTCCGAGACAGTCAGGTGGGTGAGAAACTGGCTGCAGGACAGGACCCAAAGAGTCATAGTGAATGGATCTGTGTCATCCTGGTGAGAAATGGGCAGCGGCATCCTGGTTCAGTACAGTTCAACGTTTTTATTAATGTTTCGGATGTGGGGGTGAAGAGTTCACTGGCCAAGTTTGCAGATGACACCAAGTTATGGGGAAGCGTGGTCACGCTTGAAGATAGGCTACAGATACAGGTGGACCTAGACAGGCTAGCAAGTTGGACGGATCAGAATCTGATGAAGTTCAACATTGAGAAATGTGAAGTGCTCCACCTTGGGATGAACAACCCCCAACACACCTGCAGGCTTGGTGACACCAAACTGACTAGCACCATGAATGAAAGGGACCTGGGGATAATAATAAACCACAGTATGAATATGAGCCGGCAGTGCGATGCTATAGCCAGTAGGGCAAATAATACCCTGGCATGCATCAATTGATACATCTCCAGCAAAACCAAGGAGGTGATTCTTCTGCTCTACTCAGCACTAGTGAGATCGCAGCTGGAGTACTGCATCCAGTTCTGGGTACCGCACTTTAACAAGGACATGGACAAGCTTAAGAGAGTCCAAAGAACAGCCACCCATATGATCAGAACCTTAAAAGGCAAGTCATATGAGGAAAGGCTGAGTGACCTGGGACTCTTCAGCCTGAAGAAAAGAAGGCTGAGAGGAGAGCTGGTAGCAGCTTACCGCTACACTAGGGGAGTACATCAAGGGCTCGGTGAACAACTGTTCAGCAGGGCACCCAAGGGGAAAACTAGGGGTAATGGCTACAAACTCCTGGAAGACCAATTCAGGCTCAACATTAGGAAAAATTTCTTTGCAGTCAGGGTGTCCAGCCTGTGGAATAACCTCCCTCCAGAGGTGGTGCAATCACCTACCCTGTAGATCTTCAAGAGGAAACTAGACGGTCACCTTGCTGGGGTCACCTGACCCCCAGTTATCTTTCCTGCTTGGTGCAGGGGGCTGGACCTGATGTTCTTCCAAGGTCCCTTCCAGCCCCTTACACTCTATGAATCTCTATAACTTCTGCTGAATTAAAGGGCAGCAACTGTGTATCACTAACCACATGCTTTTTTTTTTAGTTTGTGGGGTCCTGGCATATTTCTGCAGTGCTCCTTGTCATGTGTAGATGACATCATAAAATAGTCTATACATTAATCTATACAGGATATTTCAGGTCATACTTTAATATATCTTGCTGCTGGGCTTTATTTTGCACCATACACTCTGAAAGTCTGCATCTGTCACCATAAAAACTATGTTAGCATGTTGTGCATGTAAATGGGGGAAAAAGATTGTTTTCTTAGAAACAATAGGAGAATGGAGAATATATCCATGAGGACTTCATTGGGAACTTAATAAAAAAAGGCAACTAGAAGACAGCGCTGCCCCTGTGCCCTGGATGTCTGGCTGTGTCCTTACACTACTGCTCTTTGACTTGTTGACTGAACTACCAAGCAACACAGTTCTCTTCCCTTCTTACATTTGTTGTATGATTGTCAGCTCTCACTTTATTTCCATGTACTTAAAATACTTATAAGAATATTTATGCTCTTTAAGGACCTGAGAAAAAGACAAGTGAATTCAATGGAAAGACTCCTGTTTTCTCCTGTAGGCTCTGAATCATGACCAAAATCCAGTAGAGTTTTAAAATGTATGCTCTAAGTGGATTAGGCACCAAAGTGCAATCCTTTTCTACTCTGCTCGAGTCCACGAAAAACCATTAATGCAAAAAGTTAGTTAGTTCTCCTCCCCCTTGATAATTTTTGTGACTTAGGACTACTATGCTACAGAAGCAGACACACTGATGGTTTTTCAGGGACTCTTCTAGGGTGGAACAGAATCATATTTAGGTACCTAGCAGGTGAAATAAAATCTGACTCAGAGCCTCCTCACACTACTGAAGACAATGGAGCTAGGCTAACTGATGTTATCTGAGGACTTGGCTCCTAATTTCTAAAAAATATTTCTTATCTGTACCTGTAGGTGTAATACGATTAGATTAGTGCATGATGGGGCATCACATAAAGCAGGATCCAGCAATTCATGCTGTGCTTGAAAAGGGAAAATGGGATGATTTAATGTGCTGAATACACTTCCTGCCTTGGTTATTTAGGAATTCATCATATATTGTGGCAGCTGTTGGGTCTTTTAAAAACATAAAATATTTACAGGTCACCTTTAAGAAATCAGCTAAAACAGGAGTTCCCTTAAAGCCATGGGTGGGGGTGTGGCAATGTGATTAATTATGATTCTGCTGGGAAGAACTGATTGTATAAGATGTGTGACATTTTTAAATCTATGAATGGAAAGATGATAAACGAAATACCAACAGCTGTAGCAAATAATAATTTACAGCGGAGTAAGAAATTGAAGTAACCTCATAATTACGTGTGTTGGGTTATTGCATAGCCTTGTTGACAAGTAGGTATAGATTTTTCCAATGTTAAATAATAAATTGGATGACAAGGACAAAGATGGGGCTTAAAAGATCGTATTTAATAGGGCTGTGCGAAGCTTTGGGTGCTGATTTGATTCAGAGGAGATTAAGCCTGATTCGGTGGCCAAATCTCTGAATCCAAATCGAATCGGGGGCCAATTAAAAGGTCCAAATTGATTTTTAAGCTTTCTGAATTGATTCGGAAAAGATTCAGAGAGCTTCTGTGATTCGGGCGGTCCCTACCAACTGCAGCAGGGAGCTGGACCCGGACTCCATGCTGGTAAGTAGG